TCCTCCTTTAGAATGTACAAGGAAATTAAAATAGCAATTCCACTTCTGCAACATGAACAACATGTCAAATGTGATCACAGCCTGTTACATTCTACAGAAATGTAATGTTAGGAGATAAGGATCACCATCTGCACCATGCATTTAAGACAACCATTTTACAAGAGCTTGTGTAGCTTTCTGGAATCAATCTGGAATGAGCGAAATGTGTTACTTGAATTGATGAGTTCCTGCAACAATAGCAACTGTTTAAATGGTTTTAAATGCTTATGTTTTATTTTATAGATTGTTTTATTTGTTATATATGCTGTTTGATTTGTACTGTTTTAATATGTTGTGAGCCATTTTGGGTCCCGTTTAGGGAGAAAAGCAGGATATAAATGAAGAATGGTTGTTGTTGCATAAATTTAACTTTATAAAGCATGTACAGAGGAAGTAAAATGATGACATCTCTTCAGGGGCAAACCTAGGATTACACTGTTATTGAAGACAGTACATAGAGAATGCTCATTCTTCAGTCTATCTCCCTATAATAATCATGCACCTCCTAGTCAACCTGCAACTTATATGGCGAGAGAAAAGGGCACTGAGTGGTGAACTCTCACTTTAACTGCTTAGAGCCACATGCATCTGCTCATCTATATTTTAAGGCAATAAGAGTCATAACACCAGAGCTCAAGAAATATTTCACAGTACCTCTTGGTGGCAGGTCCATATCTCCCGATGTAAGTCCTATCAGATTTGGTCTTTGGGCATGCACCCTATGTCTATACATAGGTCTTGAAGTGCTGGTTATACTTGGTGCTTCAGGGTTGTAGCCATCTGTATCATATGTTTCTATTAAAGAAAAAAATATAGTTGTACTAAAATGTACAAAGGGCCATGGAATCCCACATTTTCAAACTAAGGATAAATATCACACACAATAGACTATCTACTGCTAGAAAGTCAACAGAGTGTTTTAGAAATACAAAGTTTCAAGTGTACTTCTTAAAATGTATCTTGGCCCCCACTATTCAAAGAAGAGAGATCAGACACCAATTCGAGTCCGTATCAACCAAAGCAGCTCTTTAGATCCTGCTGAAAGTTTTAGATGCAAGAGCATTTTGATGTGTTCAGTATGAGACTGAAGGAAACAAATACATTAAATGGATCATCAGGCTCCCAGAATAGTTTGTCACAAACCATTTCCTTGTGACCTTGGCTATGAAACTACAGCATTTTACTCAAATAGGCAGATTACTATCCAATACTACATTATGTTTATTCTTGTGCCAATAACAATATTCCCTTGTGGGACAATTAAATGTTAGCCAATTAAACCTTCCTGATGACATGTTTTTATCAATAGAATAAGGGGAGTGATTGCTCCCACCACATGCCCTTGAAATTTTCTGCATAAAGATCAGAACCCTCTGCAAAGCAAATGAAAAATCAAATGGGAACTGCAGAAGGAAAACAAAATCCCACTGCATTCGTGTGATATTCATTTTACAATATTCTGAACAGCCACAAAATCTCTGTAATTATAATAAGAATATTCTGTATTATCATAAGCAAAACAATTCTATTACCACACCTGTAAAAAGGGAGGGTGGAGCAGGAGGTGACTGATGATGAATACCCGTTGTTACAACTGTAGGAACAGAACTGGTTGCAGAATTTGGAGGGGCATCCATACCAGAGGGCTGCAAAGGAGGAAGAGGAGGAGGTGGTCCTGCCAAAGAACAATGTAACAAAGCATGAAAAATGAAGCAACCACCAAAAATATAATACATTTATATCTAGACCAGTGCTTCCCAACATTTTTTTTATAAGGGACCACTTGACCAGGGACCACTTTCCAACAAAAGTACCAAAAGGGTTACAGTTTTTGGTCAACTTTAGATTGGGTTTGGTTATTTGGGGTGCCGATTCAGAAAACTGCATTGGATAAACCAAATCAGCTCTAGTTTCTGATACAGAACATATGCCATCCAACAGTAACCATCTGCTCACCCACAAAAAACCATATTTAACAATCTAGAGCTGATCGCCATTGCCTTGGCACTATAAGAGGATTTTGTGAGCCCAGTGTTCTCGTTGCTGCGTGGTTTCAAGGCAACAGTGTAGTAATGGTGAGGCCGCGGACCATATTTTCGTTCTTGCGGACCACGTATAGTTATTTATTTATTTACCATATTTATATCCCACCCTTCTCACCCCTTAAGGAGACTCAGGGCGGTTCATATATATGGCAGCGATTCGATGCCACATGGGCATACATCAAGTAAAAGAAACATATACATTAAAACAATCACTAGAAACATATCAAACATTAAAAACCACTTATTTAAAAACACAAAATCCGATACCATAGTCCAAGTTATATAGTATAACTCAATGCAGCTAATGTAATGTATAACTCAATGGGACAAATATGCACTTGTTTCCAAATATGAAAGAATTTTAAGACCACTTTAAGCATATAGATATATGTTTTAACTAATGGCGTTTAAGAGCTAAGAGTCTTGTTATGCTCTCAAGCTTATGCCAAATAAAGCCTGCTGGTCTTTACAAGATGTCAAAATGTGTGTTGTTCTGGTGCAGCACATGAGTATTGGCTACTCCTCTGGGAACTACTCGAGCCTATAGCTTCCAGGGAAGTAAACATCCATTCCATGTTGGTTCACTAAGCAGTATTATTAGAGAGTTCTCTTTAGCTTCAGATGAGGACTGCTGGTGAAAGGCAATATGCCAGTACTACCTATTACTTATTCCAGATTACTGCCTGAACTTCAACAAATCCATACTTCAGCCATCAGAATTTAAACTGAAACAGGCAAAAGAATCTATAATAATGCTCATCTCACAGATATTCTTTTCAATTATTTTCAATATCCATTTCAAATGTGCTAGTTTTGCCTTCAGTGTCTACATACTCCAGGCCCCATATAGCTAAAGGTGCGCCTGTTTGTACATCTCTTTTTCTCAAGCAATAAGACGTTTTAACCTATTTAAATCTATTTTGAGATGTAGCAGATTGCTATAAATTGTGGAATCTTTGTAATGATGGAAAACCCAGATGTTGAACTCTGTCTTCTTTCACATGTCATTTTAAAAGGAAGATGAAAAATCATTTATTTCAGCAACCTTTTATCTTAATGACATTTTAATCTCAAGCACTGTAGCGTTTCAGTCTTGTCTTGTGCTGCAATAAAATGTTTTAAGTTATTTGTTTGATGATTGTTTATTATTTATTATGCCTTCGATTGATTTGAAACTTAGTTATAAACCATTCAAAGAATTACTATGCAGCAATATATAAACTTAATATACACAAATATTCATTTCTCATGCTGCTGTTATTTGCTCCCTAGAGTTTTAAAGCATTCTGCAGCCTTAATGAGATAAACAAAATTCAAGCATGATTAATTTAATCTACATCCAGATAAATGATTGCTGTAACATGAAATGTTGCAAACCATCTATACTTGTGTATAAGTTGACATCATGTGTAAATTGAAGGCAAGTTTTGAGGTTAAAATTCCAGATTTTGATATGACTGTGGATATATTGAAAGCCACTCTCCAAAGGGGAAAGATCCAGCATTACCTCAGAAGTCCAGCCACCCCTAACTCTAACTGACAATTTGCTGCCTTTCCCCACTCTATCCAGAGAAGGAGATGGTTACTTTTCCTAAATATAACTTATTATATTACAGTATTAACCCTTATAAAAAAAGGAACCATCTTCTCTGAGCAAAGTGGAAAAAGTTAAAGGCTTAATCTGCTCCAAGAAAACCTGTCAAGAAAGAAAAGAAAAAAGGAGTGGGGGAAAGGAGTTGGAGAAGTGAGAGAAGCAAAAGTGAAAGATTACTGGCAGGGTGTATTTCTGCTGGGATGCTCTAGAGAATACAGCTGATGTGAAGAAACACAGAAGAGGAATAGGAGTGGGGAATCAATTAAGGTGAGGAAGCAAAGAGTGTTTGAAAAAGAAAGGAGGAAGCAAGCACAGGGGAAGGAGAGGAAAAGTGACTTGATGTTTAAGAGAGCAATGGTGGTGGTTCTGCTGCTGCTGCTGATAGTGGCTCCTTCAGTACTGAGTCTGCAGGGTGTGGGGTGGAGAAAAGAATGTGGTGGAAAGGAGGAGACAGGAGGGGCAATGTGCAGCAGACAGCTCTCAGTCTCCCAAGAGCAAGGTGAGGGAGAATGGCTTTTCCCATAGATTAGATCCCAACAATTAATGAGCTCCCTCCAACCCCCCAAACAATAACACACAGCCACCAGGATATGAGAGAGAAAACAATATGTTGGCACATGTTGTAGCTCAGCAGCAGCCAGGGGCTGATGGGTTCACTGATGACTTAAGAGTCAGATGGGATTGTGGGCTTTCCTGGGATTCATTCAGATGCAAGGCCTGAGAATGTAATTGCCTCTGAACCTCAAGTAGGACAAATGCAGGGCCTGAGTATGTAATTGCCTCTGAAACTCAAGGCCAGTCACAGGAGTGGGAATCAGCTTCTCTAGATAAGGAGTCTAGCAAAGATGAATGAGAAACACCCCTAGGAAAGGACCTGGCTATACTGACCTAAGCAAGGAAGCATATTTGTAGATTAGAGCAGATAGTTAGCTTTGTAGATCAACACAGCAGAAATTCAAGGGCAGATATAATGCTTTCATGTCTGTTTATTAGGAGCTAACAGACACTCTGTCTTCAGTTCAGGCAAAGTGGCTTTCAAGTACAGCCAGGCCTGTGTTCTCTATTCAACTCTTGGTTTTGGATTCTAGTATTCTGGGAGTTCTCCATGATCTTGTTTTATATTATTGTTCAAGTTTTTCTTATGGATTTAAGGTGCCTTTGTATTTTGTGATTATTTTTGGATTGTATTGCTTTTGGATTACTGATTGCTGAATGTTTGGATTCTATGCATACTCCTGGGTTTTTTTAAAACTATATATCTTTTGTGTATTGTTGCAATAAACTGTTTGCTTCTTCTTAGAACTCATGTGATGCTATGTTCATAGGTGGCTTCAGGCCTGGGGTGTGACAGCACAGCAGCTGTGAGCCGTCAAGTCCAACCCAGGAGTAGCCCCAGCACCACACTGATGTCAAACAGGAGCCAGGTAGTGTGCTGCCCCCACCCACCTCATCAAAGAAGGTGATCACAACTCTCCCTCTCCAACCACCTCCCCCTTTTGCCAGCAGTTGTCAGTGTGTAAAATGATGGGAGAAACTCAAGACTCTCAGTTTTTGAAATCAGCTAACCTTTTCTCCCCTCATCCATCTTTGCTTGGAAAAAGGGGATGCACTATGCTAGGCACAGGACCCGCATCTCTGTCATGGTTTACTGTGGGTGACACCAACTCTAATGACACCACTGACTGACACCGACCTATGGATAAATCAACTCATTTCCTGAGTTACATTTTCTCTATTTAAATGCAAATATATACAGCAAACACCATCATTTAAAAATACCTAGGAAGGGAGCTATATAAAACAAAAATTACTTTTAAAAGGTAAGTTTTACCTGTAACAGGTGGAAGGCTAGGTGGTAGAGGGCCTGGAGGTGGAACGGGCGGCCTAAGGTTTACAGGAGGAGGAGTAAGAATCGGTGGTGGGGGAGGAAGTCCTGGAGGAGGTGGTCCTTCAACAACCGGGGGCTGTGCAGGAAAAGGCAATATGCCCGGAAGGTTCACATCTTCTACAACCACAGGGTCACTTCCATGATCAAAAGGACACATATCTCCTCTCATACAGAAACCCTTCTCTGAAATGATAAAAACAAAGGATTACTAAGAAAGCCTGAAATATTATGTGAAACAAATTAATAGTCTCCTGCTAAGTTTAAGTTTATTTATGTTTTTGAGACATGACATTGTACTTTGATAAACTTATTTACCGTGAAGAAAAGAAAAACATTTTATCTTCGTTCTACTTTATTTAACTTGTAACAAAGCAATATATAAAATAATAATTATATTAAAACACTGAATGAGAATATAAATTTTTTCATACATAGCAAGCTTATTCTCATAATTATCTTGAAGTAATACAAAAATTCCCATTTTATTAGCAGGAAATTAAAAAAAGTGAATGGTCTTAAGATACAGAAAACTATTCTCTTTCCACATTTGCTGTTGAACCTTTGTGGATTTGGTTATTTGCTGATATGTTCATTCTAACAGGGTATTTGATACTTGCATCCATCTCAAGATCTGTTCTATTAACGTCAGGTTTGCTCAGAATGAACCCTTCAGTTGATGGCAGGAAACCAAACTGGTGCATTGGCTGCAGCTGCATTCCCCTGCTTGTTTGGTCAGGCAGAAGAAAACAGGAATGAACAGGAGAATGCAAGGAGCACGGCTGCATCGGTGTTTCTCACTTGTATACTCACTTGGAAAGGGAATGTGACAGAATGCAAAAAGGGAGGTCAGGTGGTATGCTGATTTCTGGGGTGGACAGAGAGAGCAAGGTAGGGAAGGGCAGAGGAGGCAGAAGCTGGGACAGGTTGATAGGAGAAGGGAAATGGCAACAAGAAGTGGCTGCAGCAGCTGCTCTTACCACAGTAGCACTACCTCTGTCCTTCCTCGAAACCAACACACCACCTGCCTTCTCTTCTCCCTCACCCACATTCAAGGGAATGAATATTTGTGCAAATACATGCAAGTCAGGATCAGCCATCCTGCCAGTCAAGAAGTGTTAATACAGTTTGGAGGCCCAAAAGACATCCATAGTATCCATGGTTTTCCCATTTTCATGGGGATCCTTTGCCACAATTCCAATGAAAGAGTAGGTCGCCTATACAGCAATCATGAAAATGCTCACAATATGAATACATAAATTAACCTTTCTAGACTTACCATCATAGTCTCTGCACCGTTTCTTTGGCAGTGGCGGTCTACCATAGGAACTATGGTCCAACTGTTCTTCATGAAATTCCGACCAACTTTCAGTAGTATTATTTCCATGGTGAGCAGGAGCAATAACTGTTATAGTGCTACTTAGTGTAGGCACAGGATAGTGACCAGATGAAATGTTTGTAACGGAAGAAACAGGAGTATAATTGTTTTCTAATGGCTCTGTTCTTTCCAAATCATATTTTGGCTTCCCAAGATCCCGCTCTGCAAGAAAATGGAAATATTTTAACGGTTTAAAAGATTTTAAGATGAATGTACATAACAAGTCTAATATTGTGCTGGTTGACCAACTTAACTAAAATCAATCAATAAATAATAAACTTTATTTATATCCTGTCAACATCTCCCAAAAGGGACTCGGGGAGGCTTTCAAGGCATTACAAGTGTAGTATATAACATAAACGGTACATGAGTATAAAAACAATACCACATAAAAGTTATAAAAACAACCAATATTAACACATAAAATAAAATAAAAACACAGTTTAAAAAACAGACCATCTGTAGTTAAAACTGTCTTCGAATCACAACTAAAGTGCCAAAGTGTCAGATGCTGCATGCTGTGTTTCAGAGCACTAATAATTAAAATAGTCAACTAATCTCGTTTTGTCCAAACAATTTGAAATTATTGTAAATAATCTGATGAGACTCTTATTACATAAGCTGGGATTTAAATAAAGATAACTTGCAATACTTTCAAACTGGACAAAATGAGATTAGTTAACCATGTTAATTATTCTTCCTCTGAAACAGAGGTGTCATTTTCTTTCATTTTAACCCAGGGGACAAACAGGTCCCATTTATTCTACTACAAGGAAAATATTAAGAAATATTCTTATTCAGAAATATAATCCATTGGCCTAGAGGAAATGCTAAAACAAAAAGCTCTATTAAAAGGATAGAAAATAATTTAAAATGAACACTGAAAATGAAACCTTGCTACTAACAAAAATAAAAGACCTCAGAATAAATTGCCACTTCAAAAGAGAAAGATCAGATCCATTTTTTTAAACAAATTTATTGAAAAGTTTAGAGAAAGTTATTTGCCTTGGCAGGAAAAAAAAAACCCAAAAAGGAGGTTCCAGACCATGACCACAAATATCCTCTCTAACAGTTATCTCACTCACTTCAACTGAATTATTTGACAGGTCTAGGAAAATAACTTATTTTATAGCAAAGGTTCTGTCCAAAGTTAGAACAGAGGTTTGATTGAAGTTGTTGATGTGTGCTTTTGAATCTGTTCTGATTTATAAGACACTGACAGTATGACTTGCATTAGGTTTCCATGATAGAACAGTGATTCGAACCCTGGTCTTGCTCAAACCACCACACCACACCGACCCTATTGATTGAGGGGAATATGATCAACTTCATCAAAGGTGTCAATTGCTGCGCAGCCATTCTTTTCTCAAACATTCCCAGGAAAAAAAAAACTTAAGCCAATGATCAGAGATCTTACAGATGCATTCTTACTGCACTCTTTCAATGGTATCAGGATAGTCAGACTATACCTTCTATTAATTAAATTCCATATTCTCTAAATGAAACTTTAACAATGTTCTGGGTTTTGCTGGATTTCTCCTCCCTGCTAAATTTAACTGAGAGAAGAAGAGAGGTATTTCAAATAAAGGTAATATTCAATTTTCATTTCTACCTATAGGGTACAAAGTTTTTAAAAAGTTTTAAGAGGGCAAACTGTGTCTAAACAGATTCCACAATTCTGATTATTTATTTACATGAGGGTAAACTTTATTGAAAGGGTTCTGGGAACTGAGGTCCAAAACACCTAAAGGGCACAAGCTTGAAACCACTGCATTAGTGTGTTGGCTGCAGTGTGCTTATTCACCCACAAGTGGAACCTCTTCAGTAACATTTACCCTCATGCAAACAAATAGCCAGAATTGTGGACTCTGTTGAGACCCTGTTTGCCTTCTTATAACTTTTTAAAACATAACAAAAAAGGACAAAAATCTTGGAAATGTTATCTTACTAATCATATACTTCAAAAAATATAAATGAAACGCTTTCATGAGCTATGTTGTGTCCCCATACATTTCATTAATACAACTTTTGCATGTGCTTATATCCCTTATAAGGGGTTGTTTTGACCCCTTTTTGGTAATAAAACTGAATTCCAGTGTTGCAAAATGAAGCATGTCTAAAAAGTGTGTCAATCTCATGAAGCGTTTGGAAAGCTTTGCAGTAGTGTCAAATCATAGCTGTGGGATGGTAATAATAAACACTGCAAAGCAACGTGAAAACTAATAATTACCTCTGCTCCTTGTTCTGCTTCTTGTTCGACTCCTGCTCCTGTCCCTATCTCGATCCCGCAACCTTTCCTTGCTCCAACTTCTACTGCGGCTTCGGCTGTAGCTCCGGCTCCGCCCCCTTCTTCTGTTGTAACGGTCCCTATAGGACTCTCTCCGCGGAGGATTCCGATCATACTCTCTCTTGCGAGAGCGCTCGTCCTTCTTTCTTTCATCCCTGCTTCTAAATATTTTAGATTGTTATACAGAAACACACTCAAAGTTCTAAATAAATTTGGAATCAACAATTTACATCAAAGACAAAACATAACCATAACCATTTGTATAAAAAGTGATGGGTACAGTCATTAAAACTTTGACATTGGTGCAAATGACATTTTAAATTTCAATATGGGAGGAAAGAAACAGATACTAGAATAGAAGTATTTTTAATTAATTTTATGGTTGGGTCTCTGTGATGCTTTGGACTTGTTACATGTTATTACATTTTTTAGATAAAGTTGTTATATAGGCACTATGCAGTAGATATTGTAAGGTAAGGATCTGCTGAGAGAGGCTAAGAATGGAACACTGAGAGCAAGTGGAGATAAGTCAACTGTCTGAGAGGATTTCAAAAAGGCTGCTGTTTGACATCTGGTAGGAAATGAGAGTAAAGTAAGATTTAGGTATGTGTTCATTGGATTGAATAATGAGAATGAGGGATATCCATTCAGAAATCTGAAGCAATTATCAACTTCACGTGAGAATTACCTGGGTTCTCGGTACCGTGAACTTGATTGAGGGGGACTATGATTTAATCTTCTAGAAAACTTCTTCTCTCGTTCTTCTTCTTTAATTATCTTGACAAAAATTATGGAAAACAAGCGTGAAACAGAATTGCCATTCCAGAAACCAAACTGCCATTTTCAAATCCAGCTTGTAGAAAATTATACCAGAGCTTGATCTCTTCACAACTACAACCTATGCTAATACATTATATGCAACACTTTCTCCCATACTGAAAATGTCATGGCCAAAAAGTTATAAAAGGTTGTAGTTGTGAAGAGTTCAGGCTCTGGCATAATTTTCTAATACTCTGGTATAAATTTTTCTGAGACATTTTTATGTTAATGCACCCTTACTAAGCGTTCTTCAACACACAATTTTTAATCAAGTCATATGATTTATACCTCTAAGCTTCATATCTCTATGATATACATTCTTAAGATCTTTAATGAGCCCCTCAGATCACTATCTCAGTTTTAGATGCACTACAAACAGCACGTCAAATGTACAAACCAAAATACAAGATACAAATTGAACACAGAAATAAGCACAAATAATTACTACCTCTTCCTTTTTTGTGTCTTTTTCTTGATGTTGAAAGAAGTCTGGCTTTAGGCTTCCAGATGACGGTTGTTCTGGTGGAGGTAGATAGCTTTTTGTATTCACAGCATCAAAAAGTTTTTCCACAAATATTTGAGTCTCTAAATTATAGCAAGAAAGATACACAAATTATCACTTCCATATATTATTATTATTATTAAACTTTATTTGTACCCCGCTAGCATCTCCCGAAGGACTCGATGCGGCTTACAAAGGCCAAGGCCTCAACACACAATACAACAATACAAAACCTAGGCAAATTAAAAACAATTAAAGCAATCTAAACAACAACAAACAATGAACAATCCACTAAGACACGATGAAACTGGGCCGGTCCAGAGTAAGGGTACAAGAGTTAAAAGTGCTGATGTGACGGGTGGAATATGAGGCTTATGGGCAAGTGCAGTGTGCGGTGTGCAGCGGTCTTAGCTTTAATAAAGTGCTTATGGGACTTGGTATTGGAGGTTTCCTATTCGGGGAAGGCACATCGGAACAGCCAGGTCTTCAAGTTCTTTCTGAAGACTGCCAATGTAGGGGCCTGTCTGAGATCTTTGGGGAGGGCGTTCCAGAGTCGGGGGGCAACCATGGAAAAAGCCCTGTCTCGTGTCCCCACCAAACGCGCTTGTGACGCAGGTGGGATCACGAGCAGGGCCTCTCCAGATGAACGAAGGGAGCGTGTGGGTTCGTAGATGGAGATGCGATCACGCAGGTAGGCTGGTCCCAAACCGTTCAGGGCTTTGTAGGTAAGCACCTGCACCTTAAATTGGACTCGGAAGATAAACGGCAGCCAGTGGAGCTCCTTGAACAGGAGGGTTGACCTCTCTCTGTAAGGAGCGCCAGTTAACATCCTAGCTGCTGCTCGTTGGACCAGTTGGAATTTCCGAGCCGTTTTCAAGGGCAGCCCCACGTAGAGCGCATTACAGTAATCCACCCTAGAGGTGACCAAGGCATGGACCACTCCAGCCAGGTCAGTAATATAATGGCTAATACTAAGAACCTAATTGTTTTGTGCCAATAGATTAAATGTCCAGTCTGCAGGATATAAAAAAGGCATTGCAAGAAATCAAACCTTATTTACCGATAAAAAAAACTTTATTTATATCCTGCCCCATCTCCCCATCGGGATTCTGGGTGGCTCACAGACATAAAAAGGCAAATATTCAATGCCTTGTACTGCTATAAATAAGTAGTACAATTTAAATAAAATACAACTTAAATAGTATAAAACAAATAGTTATAAAAACAATAACCATTCTGTTTTATGAGGGGCTTTTATCTTGAGGCAAACAACTGTAACGATAACTGACAACATTTGTTACATTTCAACCTTGCCTTTGTCCAGGGAGTTCCCTACTGTTATCCTTACAACTTCAGGTAGGTGAAAACCAAAGGTGACTGCGCCAAAGTGAGTTTCATGCCCAAACAAAGCCTCAATCTCCCCATAATAATTCAATAATAATAACTGAATTATAGTAACTTTTAATACTAGTAAGAGCCAAACAGCACTCGTCTCTGCCCTGTGCTATCTGCTCTATCAGATCATTGGGACAATGCTATCCCAAACTTTCAGACTTGAAAAGACAGTTTTGATAGCATCATAATACACTGCATTCTCCAATCAGAGAACCCCTGAAGCTCAAAGAAAGAAAACCTGGAAGAAAGTATTACTCAAATGCTATAAGCAGAAATGATTTCAGATGAGCAAATATTTAAAGTGATGGAACAGGTTTTATAATCACAACATAGGACAATAGTAATCTTTCAAGGCAATTCAGAACATAGTTGAAAGTGGGAAGCATGCAATAATTTGTCTAATTACAAACAGCTACTAGATCATTAAGAGCTTCCAAAAGTGATGCTTGTTGTATAGCAAAACCATAATTACTGTATCTGGTTTGTACTGCTCTCACTAAATTTCTATGGAACACTATGGCTGTTGGTTTTTATATGACCTATGTAGTGCACACTCAGGGCAATATGTAAGTGAATCCTCAGTACACAGTAGGAAATCAGAACCCATCACAGTTTTGTGTTCACAAGAACTTACCCTTTTGAAGAAACACATCTAGCTGGTCAACACACAGTGCCTTCAGTTCTTTCTCACTTTTGTCTTTTTTGACCAAGGCAAGAACATATTTCGCTAGGGCTGAGGGATCTGCATCACATCTGCAAGTGGAAATTAATACTATCAGTAATTAAGATACATTTAGATCTTACTTCAAGCTGGTACACTATGTTCCATACTTTCACTGTTTTATTGTTTACTTCGCTTGAATGTATACTGAAGAGGCAATTTCTTAATTTCGTCTCTCACATTGTACTACATTTTGAACCATCACTGTGATCACAACTAAATCTTCACACAAAGAGTAAACTATCTTTACTGAAAAACATAAAGTATGTGGAAAAAAAATCCCTGGACTTAAAAATTACTCACAAGCCAAGCTTTTTGAAACATGCTAAGCTTCCTCTAATTCAACTTTTAAAATGAAACATTTGAAAAACTGTTAACTATCTTCCATGATTGTTATGTTAGTCTGTTAAGTTTTGAGACTGCCATTTATGTATTATATTTTATTTTTGCTTTGGGCTTTGTACTGTGTTTTATTTTCTGTAAGCTTCCCCAAGTCCGGATTGGAGAGGGAGCAGGATATAAATAAAATTGATTATTATTATTATTATTATTATTATTTCATACACAAGATTAGCACACAGGAAATAAGATCACTATGCTGGCTTTGTATTTGATCACATGTCGGACACTTCCCAAGTATTACTGTTATTGTTTTTGATATGCTTAATCAAAATTGCTTTTGATTTTTCCATTCTTGTTTTTATTTTACAAATATTCTAAGTATTAAATTTACAGTTCTTAGTTACTATTTCTACAGATAACTATTTAGCTCTTTATATTTCACAAACAGCAAGAGGAAAATAAAGAGTACTGAAGTTATAATCAACAGACAAAATGTTTAGTCTCTTTGGAAGTACAAAGCTAAAGCCAGCTAAGAGGTGATAGAGTTGATAAGAGTTTTTATCCAAATAATGGGATTGTGACCCACATCAAATGCTGATAAATCCTACTATAATATAAATATAATATATTTAATCAGTCCTGTACAATGACCTATGTCAAAGAAGACACAAGACTATAAAAAAGGCTATTAGCACTCATGCACTAGAAAACTTGCATTGCAGGGTCTGCAGTGTATTTTTATCCCACACAAGTATTCCAATGTACTGTGGGATCAGAGGTGGCCCTAGGTAATTTTCAATGGTAAGCAAACAGTATTTTGGTGCCCACCCCCAACCAATCACTGATACATATTTTCTGTTCGTCATGGGAGTTCTGTGTACCATACTTGGTTCAATTCCATCATTGGTGGAGTTCAGAAAGCTCTTTGATTGTAGGTGAACTATACATCCCAGTAACTACAACTCGCATATGTCAAGGTCTATTTTTCCCCCAGAGCGCCTCAAGAGTGCCCCTGGGCAAAATCAACTATACTGCAAATGCTTACTTTGCGTAATGGGTTGAGCCGCCCCTGTGTGGGATATCAAAATGCCCTATCGCTAAAGGACTATATTTTATTTTATTTATTTATTTGCAACCTTTCTCTCAGAAAAGAACCCAATATGCTCACAAAAGAAATCAGATAAACCATGACAATACCATTTTAAAAACAGTTAAAACCATCACATTTAAATCAGCATAATGTTAATTCAAAAGTATACAAAAGTTAAAAAATAAAGTAGACATTTCAATAAGAAGTTTCCCTGTGAGTGATTATATATGAAAAGCTCCCTTGACAAAAATAAATACTATCAATCTGATACACAGCAGGACTAGCCTCCCACAGAATGGAATTCCATAATCTAGGTTCAGTCATGGAAAAGGCTTTCTCTCGTGCTCTTACCAAGTGGTGGCTCAAAAAGTAAACACTTCTCTGTAGAACTTAAGATTCTGGCAGGTTCATATAGGGAGATAGTCTTTTTAATAGACTGGACCAAAGCCATATTGGGGTGATGACCTACACTTTGAATTGTGCCCAGAAACCAATCAGTAGCCAGTGAAGCAATTTTAACAAGTGAGATGCATGTTCTTTGTAACTGGCCCCATCAGTATTCTAAATCCACCGAAGTTTCTGAACAGCTTTCAAAGGCAGTTTTCATGAAGTGTGTAATAATAGTCCAAATGGTATATGACGAGATCTGACATATCAAGGAACAAGTGAATCTGGTGCATTAGTTTTCATTGTGCAAATGTACTACTGGCTACTGCCAAAATATGTTCGGAAATGAGTTCAAGAGAGTCCCAAAGCTATGAGTCTGAGAATTCAATGAGAATGTAACTCCATCCAAAAGAGGCAAAGTCCCTATTCTGTAATCTGCTTATTGACTGACCAGGAGAATCCCTGTCTTTTCTGGATTAAGATTCAATTTGTTTGTCCCCATCTAGTCCATTACTGACAACAGACATTGTTTCAGAATTGCTACAGATTCCTTGGACTCTGAGAGCAAGCTCCTCAGAGATATTCTATACTGCATTTTCTCCTGAATATCATTTTCCTTATATCCTCAGAGCCTCAGTTTTTCTCCAGATTCACGTTCTACACACAATATAGGTCGCAAATGAGCAAGACATTAAGCTGGTGAAGGAGGCAAGGAGCTATGAAATTGTGAGAGGTACACATATCCAACAACTCAATATGCATTTAATAATATTCCAAAATACAAAAAATATGAAATAGAAAACACAACTAGTCCTAAGCATTTTGGATAAAGGATACTCAATCTGTAATTTTCAATTTCAAACTTCCAAATGATCAATTCCAGCAGTTTCATGTAGATAGTAAACAGCATAGGGGACAAAGCTGAATCCTATGGGAATTCAAAGGCCATTGCAACCAGACATTATTATTAGATTGAAATCTAGTTTCTATAAGACAACTGTCCATTCTGCAATCTAAACTTCTCTGTTTTTCATAGTATTGATACCTGCGGCTTTACTCCTCTAACTAGAAGTGTGATGATAACAGCAATATCCCTACTGAACGACGAACCTGAAACTTAACTGACTTTCCTCCTGGCCTACTTGATTTAGTAGCAGACAGATCTGGAGGACTGAAATATCCATTTAGATCAAATGAAGTTCAAAGATACTAAGAAGACTTAAAAGTAACAGGGATCTTGAAAAGACTGAGTGTTCTTTTAAATGAAAAATTAACTTTCCACTATTTTAATTATACTTCATCAACCACATTAAAGAAGAAATAGGCAGGTACTTGCAGGGAGATCAGCACAAGATTTAACAGACACATTTTGTAATTCTTAAAAAGAAAAATCTATATTGTCATTATTTTTAGCATTGTTGTTAATTAATCACCAGCAAAGAGCTAATGTTTGTGGTTGGTAATAAAACTATAGGGTTTTAAAAGGTGATAATACAGATGGTATTTACTGTGAAATTCCACTGACCTGAATTGGGGAGGGGGGCTGGGAGGAGAGAACACAATGGTTTCCCATTTGGAATAACCTATACTTTCCCATTCTTTCCCTCTTGTTTCTCTTTAGAGAAAATTTGTTAATGGAAAAATGATAAAGTAGATTAACAATTAATTTTAACTGGATGTCCCAGAAGAATTATCAATGAAATATTTTATACTGAAATCAGAATGATCTACTGAAATATTCTTATTTTTTTCAATTAATTGGGGGATGCTGGTGTGATGTTCTGCTTTTAACACTGAATTCTGGAGACCAGAGTTCAAATCTTGCCTCAACCATGGAAAGCCATTGGGTAACATTGGATAAGTCATACTCACTGAGCTTCAGAGGAAAACAAAAGCAACACACACATGCACATACATAGAACAAAACTTGCCAAGAAAGCCCTTTAAATTGATACAATCTGAAGGCATACAATCACCAGCCACTACATCATTTTTTATACTTGGTGTCACTACACCTATTTAATTTATAAGCCACCTTTCCCCCATGACGGACAATAAATGAATACAAAATGACTGGCAATAAATCAATAGAATTTTCTGTTTCAGTCTTATGGTTATTTATTTTGAAATGTTATTTAAACAAAACCCCATAACAGAAATATTTTAACACCAAAGATGACAAAGAAGTGTATTGGCCATATTATGATACAATTTTCACTCTTTTGTGGTCCTGATTTTTTTTTTGTCATTTTCATTTTGAAGTCTAGTTTCTCCGTCCTTATTAGTATGTTCAAAGAAGATAGGGATTTTCTATAACAATGGCTTAAGATTCTAAACAAATGCTCCTTGGACTTGATAGCATTATTAAGGATAGAGAAACTAGAATAACTAATCTTATAGAAAACATTATGAAAGATACAACTTTCCACTATGCTGGAGACTCTTGACAAAAAATGTAGTGATTTATATAACCAGGTGAAGGAATTTAAAATTTTAAAAATTGAAGGAGATCGCAATGATTATCAGTCCAATTGAGTCTACCCATGGTTATTGGACAAAGAGCAAGTCCCCTCTAGGAGAAAAGTCAGATTCCATCCTCAGTTTACAAACTCATCTACAGAGGAAGACCCTGGGAGAACAACTGAATTTTCATTTTAAAGTCTTTTAATCTTGCCCCTTGTTTTTTAAAGTCAAGTTTCTACACATATGCTTCAACTGCCACAGAACACGAGAAACAAAAGTAACCATGGCACTTGAGCTATATTTAAACCATCTCCTGTAAAAAAAAAAAAAATTGCAGCACCAAAATCCCAGGGTATTTAATAAGCTTAAGGAATACTTTCAATTTTAATGAGCCTATGGTTCTATAATGTGTATATGTAATAAAATTTCACATACAGGTGTGTAAAAGGAATAGTGTCATAGGTAAAGTACTACAGACAACAGTCCTAAAAAAATGTGAAAGTCAAACCAAAGCAACGAACTAAGACTAAATATGATGAAAAACCACAGGGAGCACTGCAGCAAATGAGTATTAGTAGAAACACTGAAATTGTTTGCCCAGACTGTAGGGACAGCAACTCTAGGGAGTTTTCCAGCCCATTAACAAGAAAAACAGGAAAACTGTTTGTTCAAAATAATATAATAAAACCTATTTTCATATTAGTTATTCCATACTCACTGATTTTACATTAAAAATTTTATCTTATAAAA